ACGTGATCCGTTCCTCTTGGCCTCCCAAAGTGCTGGAATTACAGGCATGAGCCACCGCACCCGGTCCCGAAGTGTATTTTGTATGCGAAGGTCAGCAGCTGTGCGTGGGGAGGCCCAGCCAGGCACCACCCATGGGTCGTGTGAAAAACAGTCTTGCCTGAGTTTGTGTCCTCTTTCTAAATGGCAGCAGATGTGTATTTTGTTTTTGACTCTGCAGCTGGTGTGGACCACCTGCTTTAACCTTTCACTAGCCTCTGAGTTTTCTATGATTCCTGTTGGGAGAAAAGCTGAGTGTTGGGAGAGAAGCTGAGGCGGTGCTTGCATGTCTGCTAGACTTGCTGGCTCCTGGCTTCCAGCACTCCCATTATCTCAAGTAGCCATACCTTTTTCATCCACTTGATACACCTTTTCCTTTCAACCCCCACATCCTCCCCACCTGTTTCCTTGCTAGATCACCAATAAATAGGTGGGCTCCCAGAGCTCGGGGCCTGTGCAGCCTCCACACGTGCGATGGCCCTCTCGTCCAATTTCTCTCTCAAACTGTCTTTTTCTCATTCCTTTGTCTCCGTGGGACTTTGTCACCCCCACGACCTGGTGTTGGGTCTCATCATCCCAACAAATTCCCATTCTAAAGATGAGGGAACCCAGAGGTGGAAGGTAGAGTTAGAGTAAGAACCATTTCTTCTGACTCCGAAATCTTTCAGTTCTAGCATGCTACCATCCACACTTTAAAAACCCTGAAGTAGGCAGAGAATTCCCTCTTGTTGGAGGAATTGCTTTGAGAGATGTGGTTTTACTGGATGAGGCTTTGGAAACCGACCTGAGGCAGGCACCAGCACATCCTGAAAGGAGTGTGACCTGGCACACAGGCCCAGCCTGGGCTTCATGTCTCAGCTGGCAAGATGGTCTGCTCATTGCCATTCCAGGCCGGGCAGGGCCAAGGGGTTTCAAGGACCCGTGCCCTCATGGGGCTCACTGAGCTCGTCTTCCGGCAGCCAGGGCCCAGCATCTCCTACTGAAACCTGCTGTGGACAAAGGTCCTTCTTGTGAGCCAGTCTGTCCTGGCTGGGGGTGGCATCCCAGAGCCCCACCGTGGATATCCAGGGATCTATAGGTCCATTGTGAGGATAAGCCAGCACTGAGTCCTCACCCTGGACTTGGGGGGCATGGGCCTGCTCTGAGCCCTCACACTGGATTGGGAGGGCAGTGGGCCTGCTCTGAACTCTCACCCTGGACTCAAGGGCAGTGGGCCTGCTCTGAGACCTCTCCCTGGACTGGGAATGCAGTGGACCTGGTCTGAGCCCTCACCCTGGACTGGGAGGGCAGCGGGCCTGCTCTGAGACCTCACTCTGGACTTGTCTCCTCTGTTCAGTTCATGCCGTGGAGGAAGTGGTGAAGGAGGTGGTGGGACATGCCAAGGAGACTGGAGAGAAAGGTACAGCCGGCTGAGGTCAGGTGGGGAAGGAGGGAGGGAGGAAGGGAAGTTAGGTGCTGGGCCGGTCTTCAGAGCCTCTCAGCTGGCAGTTATCTATGCTCATCGGAGGCCACAGAGCGTACTGCGTTAGGGCACTGTCTAGATGGTTCTCTCTGTGGAATGATAAGAGGACAAAGTCACAAAAGACTCTGTGACAGCACACTGGGACAAAACATTTAAACAGCCGGGCGCAGCAGCTCACGCCTGTAATCCCAGCACTTTGGGAGGCCGAGGTGGGCGGATCACGAGGTCCGTGGTGAAACCCTGTCTTTACTAAAAATACAAAAAATTAGCTGGGCATGGTGACACATGCCTATAATCCCAGCTACTCAGGAGTCAGAGGCAGGAGAATCCCTTGAACTTGGGAGGCGGAGGTTGCAGTGAGCTGAGATCGCGCCAGTGCACTCCAGCCTGGGTGACAGGGCAAGACTCTGTCTCAAAAACAAAAACAAACCATAAACTGAGTGACTTAGAAACAACAGAAATTCATTTCTCACACTCCTGGAGGATGGGAAGTGCAAGGTCAAGGCACTGGCAGATTTGGCGTCTGGTGAGGGCGTCTTCCTGGTTCGTGGATGGGCCTAGCTGTGTCCTCACATCATGGAAGGAGCTAGCTCTCTGTGGTCTTTTTTATGTGGGTACTAATTTCAACTTCCCAAAGGCCCCACCTCTGAATACCATCACATTAGGACTGAGGATTTCAACATAGGAGTTTTGAGGGGGAAGACATTATAAACATTTAGACATAGTAATAACATAAGAGACTTTGGCCTAATCTTGGAGAGGGGAGAATCTTTAGAACTATGACAAAAAAACCCAGTAGCCATAAGGGAAATATTAAATAAATTCGACAGTCCAAAACTTCGAAATTTTCTGTAGCCAAAAACAAAACAAAACAAAACAACAACAAACTATAAACCAAGCCAAAAGAAAAATCACAAACTGATGAAAAAATATTTGTAATAAAAATGATAATCCAATATAACAACCCAATATAAAAATGGCCAAAAGACAT